AACGTTTCGACAAGGTTTTGTCATACCTGATGATGACAAAACTTGTCGAAACGTTGTACATTTGCTTTTATATTAAAGTTTTTCTTCATTACCCATTCAAGCCGTCTCCAGCCATTATACGTTTAAGGAGTGTTTATAAATTATCGAGTCTAACTAAATTCAGGAAGTATATAATTCATACCTTAGCATCATCATAGACTTTTAAATTGTGATATTGTTCTACACAAAACTTTACACAAGTTTCTCTTTCAATTAATTGTAATGAATAATTATTTTAAAAGGAAAGTTAGAAAGGAAGAAAGTTAACAAACAATATACAATGTTTTCTTGAAAATCCCTATCTTATAATTTTCAGTTAAAAGCGGTGTTATTATTTTAATAGGGAACTTATTTCATCTTACATGCAGAAATACAAAGAATAGAGGAGTTCCAGCAAAAAGCTTGCAGAAAGAGGAACTCTGGTAGATGATCCAGGATAAGGATTGAAGGAATTTCCACCTTCTGATCCGAATGATGACCGCTGTTTGTCAACCAACCTTTGGAATCCTTGTTTAACCAGCCTATGAAAAAATATATATTTGATAAGTAACTTCTCAGTTTTGAAGTTACATCTCAACATTTCATATTTAACTTAAGCGAAAACTATCCCATAATTACAAATTATTTCTATTTTCAAATCGTGTGTTGTAATGATCTAATATTCAAAATGCTTATTCAAGCAGGTAAAGAGCTGAGTACGTTATATTAAAAATGATTCTGAATTTACGAATCATTAAGTCACGTGCCAAGAACTGTCAAATAAAATCTCAGCAGTGTTGCATGTATAAAAACTACTTTTTGACATTGTTTGGAGGTTTCGTAGATAAAACAATGCCTCATAAATTGTATCGCTTTTGGGAAGGGTATGTAAATAACCCTTTCCGATGCAAAACATTTATACACTCAGATCATAAAGAATTGTCCAGATTAGAGATTTAGAATTTCCAGGATGGGGGATATCCTTTGTACATAATACCATGAAAAAACCAAACCAAAAACAAATGAATATGGATGAACTTGGGGCACCAGAGCCATCTAGAAAAAGACCTGCAACAAATCATACCCAGCTATGTTAAGCAAAGTACGATGTTTTGTAACAGACTAGAATCTACGAACACAAAGGAAAAAGCCCTCCATGTTTTATAGGCAAAAATAATCAAAAAGTATCTACGTCTCAAAAAGTGACACAAGTTTCTCACCAGTGATATATCATATCAATAGTCATTTACTTCAAATAGCTGGATGATAAAACAAGTATTCATGCTATACGAAGACATACCGGTTAAGTCCCTGGATGCAATGCCTGGGGATTTCTATACAATCAGACAGATAAAATGGGTTTTGAGAAACCGTCATCTTTATGGACTACATAGATTATGGAAAGGTGCAGGGAGGATCGGTGTGTTTTGAACACGACAGCTATACGGTGGAACCTTTGACAATGAAAAATATGATGCAGAGCTATTCTAAAGATGCTTAGACGTCAGATAGAGTATAGCTGGACATGGTGACATGTACTGTAACGACATGATGAGGCTCCAATATCATTTCAATACAGCGTACTAAACTTCTGTATTACCGAAATTAGTGTAAAGAAAAATTAATAGTTTTAAAGTTTGGATCTTTTTAAAATACATTTTTAGTGGTTTTTTCATGAAATAAAACATATAGTCTTTAACTAGATATATAAAAAGAAAATTTTTTTTATAGCCATTGAATAATTTTTTACTATACTTCATCATGGCAGCAAAATGATAAGAAAACAAACTTATGTCCATATGTACACTACATAATTACAGTTGAAAACGGCTGTTTGTGGAATTACTTGAAGTTATAGGACAAGCATATAAACAGACAAGTGCATGCAAATAAGTGGACTTAATCAAAGTAGCTGAATGAACTAACTTGACTGTAGTGTACTAAATGATATGCGGACACGTGTATTTCAAACAATTACCCAGATTTGGTTATACAGATATTTAGATGAACTTACTTAGAAATCATTTTACAAAGTGACAAATGAGACAGCCTTGGCATCAAACTGATGTGGTGATTATATACTTTCAACAGTAATGTCATCACTTGAAGTCTATCAGAAGGAAAAAATAATGATCATATTCAGTTACATATGTAAGCTGTAAACTTACATCTGTTTCAACACGTTAATGAGAGTTTGGTTACACAAAGCTTTAAGTGCTACTTTAAACTATAGATCCTATGCATCATATTCATATCCATAAACTAACTTAACTTACCACTAATTTTCTAAGTTAATATAAAACATTTAAATTATAGATCTTATGCATCATATTCATATCCATACACTAATTCAACTTACAATTTGCATAGAACTCATAAGTAATGTTTCGTGTCACTTTGTAAGCAAAATACTCAAGCTCTACATAAATATTATATGCATCACATCAACTAACTGGAATGTAGTACAGTTGTACTTCATGATGTACGCCCCAGATTATACGTATAGTAGTGTATCGTACAATTTACGTAAAGGACTATACTTCGTATTATTCTAAATCAATCAAACTCTAGATAGTTTCGTTTCCAAACGAACAATAATTAGTAAAACAGTATTCAATTTATCATAGTCTATAAATCCCTGTTTTCAATCTTAAATCTGATTTTATCTTTTAGTTAATGAACTATATTAAAAAATCATTTTGCTTCAGCTGCATATACTGACACTAATATTCTGCTTTTTAAAGGTCAAAAGAGCATGGTATCGCGAGGCATCAGTCACAGTTTTATTATAGTCCAAGAACTCTGAACAAGTTATTTCACGTTTGTTATATTATGTACTGTGTACTCTGTGGTTTACACATAAGAATATCCACATATTAGTTTAACTTGCGATTTACAAAGAGACCTGTTGTTGTATTTTTCATATAATCATAAAATATTCAAACAATAGACATTAATCCTATACATCATACTCATATTCATACACTAATTTAACGTACTATCTACGTAGCTATGAAACGGATTGTTTCATGTCGACTTATACGTGAATTGTTCAAACACTACATATATATAACGTATGTATCACATTAACTAACTATAAATCAGTACAGTTTGACTGTATTGTTTATATTCATGTGGCTATACATACGCTAGTTTGTCCCGCGGTTGCTGTAATTTTAGGCACAATATTAGTTATGCATTATCATAGGGTAAACTTTCAACAAAGGCATTTAAATATTTAAAATTAATATTTTATATATAGCCCATATGGACACTTTGTATAGCATAATTCGTGATTATACATATATTAGTTTAACTTATAACAGACGTAGAGGACTATTTTTCGTTTTAATCTCAAATATTCATACTTTAGATATTTTTCATTTAAATGGAAAATAGGCAGTACGAATACATTCAATTTATCATGGTTTATATATATCCCTGCTTTCATTCTCACGTCTGATTTTACCCTCCAGCCATTAAACTCCATAGCAAATCAAAGTAACTATAGAAGTACTTAAATTAGACTTTGTAAAAGAGTTTTCTAAAGTCAATCGAGCATTGTCTTATGAGTCATTAGTCACTGATTAATGTTCACAACATTATTTCAGGAAATCTTATTAAGTTATTTGACGCTTGTTATATTATGTAATGTATGTTTTATGATTTATGAATTTAAATATTCATGTATTAGTTTAAATTACAATCTATGTAGAGAACTTTTTCCATCTTAACCTAAAACATTTAAACATCATATAAAACCAATGATTAAAGTCCAAACCAGAACAACTGTGTATTCAATTCGTAATAACCAGCAAAGCGTTTGAGTAAATAAATAAAAAATATTAATATTTTGTTTCAAAGCGTTTGACTTTGTATATAGTGTACTTCAAGTCTTAGCCATATATATATGAGTTTAATTTACAACCTACATGAGACTTGTTTTTCATATCAACATATAACATTCAATCTATTTATATTTATTTTATCCATCATACTCATATCTAAGTGGCCCTTAGACAAACTGTTTCGTGTTGCTTTATAAGTTAAACGTCCAAACTCTGCATAAATATTATATGTATCAAATTAACTAACTATAATGCAATACGGTTTGACTTTATGGTATTTTATATATGATTATACATATATTAGAACATTTTACAAAATACATAACTCCGAAAAGGACTTTTTTTTTCATGTTAACCTAAAACATCCAATTTCTAAGTCGTATCTACTTGAAAAATATGTAATATGATGACAGTATTCATATAGCTTTTTTACATTATTATGCCTGATTTTGCTCGCTAGCTATTAAACTCTATTAGGAAATCATTTTGCTCCAACCAAATATAGTAACACTGATATTATAGTTTGTCAAACGTTCTTTGTTTTGTTTTTTCTAAATGAACGACTTACCATAGATGAAAATTCGTTCATATGTGTAAACTTTTCAGATTTTCTACTATATAAATATAGTGAAATAAATATTAACGCTTGCATTTCTATATTTTGTCATAATATCTTATAGAACATCACAACTTCTGTGATTTTCCGTAGAACATTAGCTTTGAAGTCTAAAATACCAGATCTTTACCATGTACAAACTGTCTTCAAACGACGCTAACTATGACACATATCGCAGGGGAGGGGTCCACAATTAAGTCCAAGAGCAATTACCCTACAATAATCCAAAGGTTAGTTTACATTACTGTCTTTCTGCATAACAATAATTTCAACTGACCTATACGACAAACGATTTTGGTTCAGTAGTAGTAATAATAATAATAATAACTCATTTTTGCCTCTATTCTGCTAGTTTTACGAACCATAATATTTTTTTTTTACTTGGGTGGCCGGCGGGGCCCCTGTATGGCCGGGGCCTAAGTGGCCTTTGAGTTAATCCGGTATTGTATGTGATACAAAATCAGTAGGTAAAAACAAATTCATACATCATATCTAGAATATATTCAGTATAAAACAGTGTGTTAGGGTTTAATAATCACTAAGCTTCTTAATTTTGATTTAAGACTTAAAATAACCCAGATTTTAAAGTGAACTTAAAAGTAGCTTAGAATGATATGTGATACAAAATCATTAGGTAAAAACAAAACTCTTATATCACATCTAGAATATTCTTAGTATACAACAGTGTGTTAAGGCCATATTAAGTCCCCTGGTGGGACAGTTGTAAGTCTTTGGATTTACAATGCTAAAATCAATAATTCGATTCCCCTCGGTGGACACAGCGGATAATCCATTGTGGCTTTGCTATAACAAAAACACACACACGCACTAAGGCCATATTAAAACCATAAAGATCACTGGGACTAGGTATAAATACATAAGGTAGGTAAGTAGTGTTAAAGTATATGCAAGATGCCAAAATGTTGTAAGTTATATTTTAGCTTCGAAAATGTAGAAAAACAGCATATAGAATGCTTGTGCATGTATAATCCATACGTGGTTTCAAAAGTAAAAATGCCAACATCTGGGACTGGTCTGCACTGAGTCAAGATCTTAAATCTATACAACTAATAGCTACATAACCATCTGAAAGGGTTAACGCGAAAGGTTAAATCAACCTTCCAGTCTTATGGATATTTTTTGAGACAATCTGCAATAAGCACTTATTGGATGTTTGTTTAGAGCAAGCCTCAAAGAACAGTAACAGTTCTTCATACTGAGGATGGTGTCACACTGTATTAAGAAAGTGGCCCTTATGATTGTATCAGTATAATACATACTCCACACACACAAAAAAACTTAATTTCTTAAATCATGTCTGCCAGTGAACAGCGGTAAGTTTACAGACTTACAATGCTAAAATCGGGGTTCGATTCCCTGCGGTGAACACAGCAGATAATCTACTGTGGCTTTGGTGTAAAATACAATCAATCTTAATTTATACAGAGTATGTCACGCAAGAAATGTATGAACTTCTTCTTCTACTCCACTTGCTGTCATGTGTCTAATAGGTAACATCACAATAGTTCAGGCCACGTCATCAGTTACTATATATACACTATTAAGTGCGAAAAAAAAACATGTCTGGGAAAGGAAAGTATGTGATCTGGATCTAAATAACCCAATCTATACCAGGCTCTTGGTAATAGCAGAGAGTTGTGTTTGAGGTATTACGTAAACCAAGATGCATTAAAAAATTAAAAGACAAGTATTATAAGAAAAAAAAGCAGAATATAAAGTTGATAGTTTATGAAGTGAAACTTCTCCAAATTCAGTTTTTCTTCATTTATAACCTTGCAAGTACATATATAACATGTTTGTGTTAAGCCCGAGTGGTCACTGAAGCTGCATAAAAGTTAGAGAAATAACGTTTTGGCAAACTTATAAAATGTTGGTAAATAGTCAAAATCCAGACTGTTTGTTCTAACGATCATTCCTCTAGAATTTAGACATAGCGTTTGAAAGATCTTGTAATGAAAACAGAAAAAAAAATGATCTAGAAATATTTTTGATGTTATTATTACTATTGTTTTCTTACCTTAAAGTTACACAATGGACTATCTTCACTCTGTCCACCACGGAGAATCAAGCCCTGAGTTTTAGCATTCTAATTCCTTAAACTTACCATTGACCCATCGAGGGATATTTGTTGTTAATAAAACTTAGTAATCATAGCTAGGCCTCACTAGTTTCCAATTAGGTAATAAAAGAACACTTATCAAGTTGTAAACACCCAACAGCAGAATCTCTACTGAATTAAATGTCTAAAATAAAAAATATATAATCTGTTAAAACACCTAAATATTTCTATATGAAAGAAATTGCTAATGAAATGACAAGTTCTTCAGCTCATTTTATTTTATTACAATATATTCCTCACTGTAGAATTACAAATTTTGATTAGTAAGGAAAAATCAGAGAACAAGGTCACAAATACAAGTTTCTACATTAGTAATAATGTGTTTCCAGTTTTCCGTGCAAATCTAGATTTTCATGAGGGTCTCTCTCATCTTTACACCTTCCAAGACCAATATACCCAATTCAAATGTATCATTGTAATTTGTTAAAAGCTTAAAGCTCAGTATCAGAAAAAAAAGTACAGTACATTTCGACACATAAACGTTACCCAGTACAGAAGAAGATTATGGTACCTTATTATTGGCACAAGCTCCAGCACAAAGATAGACACCAGTAAGGACAGGGATATACTGTACGGTATATCTCAGTAACTCTTTTTCTCTAGACTGGTAGAAAATAAACAGCTGGCGGCAGACTGGTTCCAGAAACTATAACATAGTATATCACAAACTAATTATAACAAAAAATAAAGCACATTAGTTAAAGGTACGTTTTTTTTTCAACCTAGATGTAGTTAAGCTTTAACTATTCCTTTAAAACACTTTAATAAAAACCTAGTCCTAAATATTGTATTTAAAACAATTGTAAATTATTGACTACATGTGCATGCATACATTTTACGGTATTTATGCTAAATTATTACTTGGTAGATTAATTGGAACATTCATATGTTTGACTAATTTTATACTTATTCTTATCTCTTTTAGTAATAGATGCATAAATGCGATGTTCCTTTAAACCTTCGATTAATTTTCCCCATGGTTTCAAAGATATAAATAAAATGTATAAAATCAGACCGTCTAACTCTTCCTATTTCACAGAAGATATCCTATTTTTTAGCATATCTGAGTGTTTTCCCAGAACATATCTCTACCTACATTTCTGCAGCTGAATTAATTTTCCGGATACATCTTTTTT